TGTGGTAGTTACCGAGCCGACATGAACGGTCCTGAAAAGGGAGACGATCAGCACGTTGATCCCGATTTAGACCCAGCAGGTGGATGTGATTAGGTCCGGGATCCTTTAGGAGAACTTTGTACCTGAGTCACAAAAGAAATGGCCTGTTACACTCAACTAAAGAGTTTCATTAATGAGAAAACATGTACTGGGTTGGTTTCGCATGACCGACCGCATCTGCCTTAGGAGAAAACACCTCGTGAAAACAACAGTATTTCTGCATATACTTTACGCTTCCCGTATAAAGTACAGCACAGTACAGTGCAGTAGAGTGTAGTACAGTACAGTACACTACACTACACTACAGTATAGTGCAGTGCAGTACGGTGCAATACAGTGCAGTGCATAACAGTACAGTACAGTACAGTGCAGTACAGTACAGTACAGTATAGTATAGTATAGTATAGTATAGTATAGTATAGTATAGTATAGTATAGTATAGTATAGTATAGTATAGTATAGTATAGTATAGTATAGTATAGTATAGTATAGTATAGTATAGTATAGTATAGTATAGTATAGTATAGTATAGTATAGTATAGTATAGTATAGTATAGTATAGTATAGTATAGTATAGTATAGTATAGTATAGTATAGTATAGTATAGTATAGTATAGTATAGTATAGTATAGTATAGTATAGTATAGTATAGTATAGTATAGTATAGTATAGTATAGTATAGTATAGTATAGTATAGTATAGTATAGTATAGTATAGTATAGTATAGTATAGTATAGTATAGTATAGTATAGTATAGTATAGTATAGTATAGTATAGTATAGTATAGTATAGTATAGTATAGTATAGTATAGTATAGTATAGTATAGTATAGTATAGTATAGTATAGTATAGTATAGTACAGTATCGTAGCTTTTTGGCATTATGGAAACAATGTACACCCATTTGCAAACTAATTTGGTTTTTCGAGAGACTCACCTTAGGCGGTCTGGTGCAGCACATTCAGTTGCCTGGAAACATCAAAACCGAGAGATTCAGCTGGGTTCCAGGTGAGTCTCTCGGAAAAACCAAATTAGTTTGCAAATGAGTGCATAACCACTAATTTCGTGCAATTAGGTTTCGAATAGAACATAAGATTGACGGAAACTCGGGGACTGCGCCTATCTGAAGAGCCCCAAGAAGGGCGAAACCGGTAGTGGGATGTCGAGGAGTTTTCAGCAACCATCTGAGTATTGCATTACAAAATGTACATTCAGTTTTTTTCTCCGGCAGATATCCAAACCTCGGGGGTATTCACAATTGGATGACTTTGGTCAATGAACGTGTCCTGGTTTGCTGCTCCCTAGACTACACGAGTTCATCTGCTAAATGACAGCGTGCCTTTGGGCCAGATTGGTCCCGAACTGAGCAGTTTACTGTCCCATCAAATTGCAACCTTCTATTTGGATGATGCAATTCAACATAATGGAGCGATATGAATGCCCAAGTTGATCGTCTGAACTCCTTGAAATCACATTTGGGCGGTCGATGCAGGTCACAGAGGGAAACGAGAGCGGCTCATCCAGTTTGGCACTGATCATACATTCTTTCTGGTCCGCACGATTTTTCAGCATCAGGTAACCTAGCGGCTACCAACTTCCGACAGCCGTTGACCCAGTTGGATCACATGGCAATCAGCCACCTGTGGAGAGCCACAATTGAAGACTGCCGTTCCTTCTTCGGCAGACAGCTTGCTTTCGATCACACCATGATGCATGCCCGTCTGACAGATTGTTTCCTCTCAGGCACTCGGAAGTCAGCAAAAAGCTTGCTAATCCACCTTCTTTGAAGAACTACCATGACTGAGCAGTATCGCTCTGAGTTAGCTCGACAACTCTAACAGTAAGCCAATACTACACTGGTAGTGAGCACGTAGATGGCTATGCTAGCGGAGTTCACTGCTGTCTGTCAAATGACCGTTGGATATCGTCCATCGATTTTAGGAAATCCGAATTCCCAGTCCATATTCCGTCTTTAGCTGATCACACCTCACAGATCAGGACCAACTAGAATACTAGGAACATATGTCAGATGGCTTATATGGCGTTCTGGTGAATCAGCCAACTATCCCCCTTCCTTGTTTTGCTTAAACTTGTGATAATTACCGAGCCGACATGAACGGTCCTGGAAAGGCAGAAAGAAAGAAAAACGAAAAAAGAAAGTTAGTCCCAATTTAGACCCAGCAGATGGATGTGATTAGGTCCGGCATTTTTGGGGACACATTTGTGCCTGAGACCCAAAAGATACGGTCGTGTTACATCCATCTGAAGAGTTTCAGTAATGAGAACACATGTACCGTACTGGTTTCCCACAGCCGACCACATCTGCCTTAGGAGAATTTCTCGTGAAAACACCAGTATTTTTGTGTACACTCTACGCTCGCCCTATAAAGTAAGATAGACGGTATCTGGTAGCCCTTTGACATTACGGGAACAATCTTCACCCAACTTTTTTTTCTCGGGCTAATATCCAGACCTCGAGGATGACTTTGGTCAATGGTCAGTTTGCTGCGCCTTACACTACACGAAGTGATCTGCTAAATGACAGCGAGCTTTTGAAATCTCGGGCCCAAATGGTCCCAAACTGAGCATTTTATTATCCAATCAAATTGCAACCTTCCCACTTGGTTGATGCAATCCAACATGTGGGAATGAAATTTTCTCGTTACCATTTGGCTCCTTCAAATTCAAGGTGGTCCACCCACGCATAAGCGATCAAATGAAAAAATGGGTCCAAAAATATTTGTCGCTGACTTGGAAGTCCTGGTAAACGGAACAGACTATCATTATAAATTGGACACTTACTGGATTGTAGGTCCAGTCGACGGGCAAACTAGTCATATCGTCCATCGACTGTTCATACGTGATAATTCAGATGCGTCTAGGGTGGCGTATTTGCCAAGCGACTGCCTCTCATGTCAGATGTCCCAGGTTCGAACCCCGACAAGGTCAAGGTAATACATTGCTAATGAGCTGTAATAAGTTCGCAAATCTAATACCATACTCCTTCCATTTGGTGCGGACTCAAGAGACAGAAGTAGCGAAAGGACAGGAACAGAACCGCCCAAACAAGAGTGATATGAACATGATTTCCACAACTCCCTGCCAGAACGACCTGAAATCAGTAAAATGTTTAGTTGTTAGCTAGCTGTTCGTGATTCATCAATGTGAATGGTTGTTTATCCTCACAAAGCACATAACCAACATATAAATGACACAAAGTGGGACAAATTTCTTTTGTCCATAAAAGACATACTTGCGAGACTGTCGGGTTGGGTAAAATGACAGTGTCCAAGGACGACATGGCTGCATCCGAGTTGATCACGTCCAGTCTCCCATCACCTTCTTCTCAACAGAACTTGCTCAAAAACTTACGTAAAATGCAGTTGTTTAGCCTGTGGAATTGGGGACATGAAATACTGGACGGTATCGGAGCCCCTAAAAACCTTAACAATGTTGATTGCTGTTCTTTGACAAGGGTAGTCATGGCGACCAAACACGTTAGCAGCGGAAGATAGTTCTCAGTTTATTGGAACTGCTTTCTGTTGTGTAAATGAATTGAAATCGACTGTTCTGATCTAGATGATGTTAACCGACAGTCAGATAAACACGGGTGCTCACTTTGCAACGAAAACGAGGATAGATAGGCGTTATCGAGATAATCAAATAACTGGGACGGCTTGCTGAGTCTTGGAGACAAACTGCCGTACTAAACAGGTAGGAAGACTTTCTAAATGCGGCCGTCACCTGGCAAACTTCCATCTGAGGTGAAGAAATGTTTTTAACCAATCTATGTCGTGTAAACTTGACAATGTGAGCTGTAATTGTTCCCTTGAGAGCAGACGGCTTCATACTGATGGCATGTCACTAGTCAGTATCTCGGAGATTCGTTCCTATCCTTTGATGACGTACGTCGTTTTTGGTTTACTTCCGAAACATCCAAGCAATTTAACAGTCATGCACTTACGGGAATTCCCCGTTCCGCTGCAGCACCCTTTCAGTGCCGTCAAAAGAAGAACGAGGGCTGAAACAGCCCCAGGATGCCCAGCCCTAGACAAGGACAGTCGAGTTGGGTCGAGGCTGGGTTCAAATCATGCTCCATTCCGATTAGTAATTTCGTACCTTAACCACTGATCTACCGCGTTCTCTCGTTACGTTCGTAAGCCTGTAACTGAGGGTAAACCCCATCAATCGAATTTCGAAATGGTCACATGGGCTGCACAACATTAATTGATCTGATGAGGTTTAAATATGGTCAAACTCAAACAACTGCGATAAAGCCGAAAATTAGAAATAGGAAGATCTATGTAAGACAGATAGTATTGTAAGAAGATTGGCTACCAGCCAGATCCGGGGTTGATTTTGACCAATCAAACAGAAAACGCGCAAATCGGCTTAACCATAGATGTAATTCCCACACAATCAGCAGCCAATTTTGGCACGCCCTCCTTTGGGTGCCACATTCCGCTTGGTGTGTGTGTGTGTGTGGATCCAGCTGCTCAATTTGGAAGTCGGATTGCTGAGTGAGTGCATTCGCTGAACATTTACGTCATTTCCTATATGGTGGGCGGTGGTAGGGGACCGTGTTATGATGCAACATGTGGGCAGAACTCGCGAATATACACGCATTTGAAAACTAATTTGGTTTTTCCGAGAGACTCATCTGGAACCCGGCTGAATCTCTCAGTTTTGATGTTTCCAGGCAACTGAATGTGCTGCACCAGGCTGCCTCATATTTCAGTCGCTACTACATTCGTGATATCGCGAAACACTTATATCTTTGTAATGCACTCATGAGGTTGCTGAAAATCCGTCGACAGCCCACGACCGCTTTCGCCCTTTTTGGGGCTCATCAGGTAGGCGCAGTCCCCAGGTTTCCGTCAACCTTATGTTCTACTTGAAACCAAATTGCACGAACTTCGCGAATATACGCTCATTTGCAAACTAATTTATTTTCTCGAGAGACTCACCTGGAACTCAGCTGAATCTCTTGTCTGTGATGTTCTCAGCCTTAGTTCTTGGTCGTTCGACTTTCGCATTCCTGTGTGGATATTTCCATGGTGTAACTTCTCTCAGGATAGTCCGATTTGCTGTTGAATGGAATACTGATAGTTCAGAAATCATAGGCGGTCGCCGGTTTATACAATAAAACGGGCATTTGGATCGCAAACGTTCCAACACCAATCGGGGTAACCCCCTCATTGCGCTGTTAGGAAGCGCGGTAGAACGTAGCAGTCGGTCACTGGTTGTGTGCAAACCGTCGCCATCCTCAACTCCGCTTCCTAACCAAGCACCGATGATTGCACCCGGATTGGTGATGAAACATTTGCAATCAACTTACTCAGTTCGGCGAAGAAACCAATGAACAAATTGTGATTTAATTGTAAATGATAAACTCCTTTCCCTTGTGGTGTTTTTTTACATGCCGGCGTTCCCCCCACAATATGACACAACTAAGTTATCTATAGGGAGAATTGGTTTACCTGTATTAGGTGACAGACACACGGTATTGGACCATTTCAAGAGAGAAGTTGTATACCATTCGTTGGCATAAAGGCAAATGACAATAACCTCAGCTGACCTATCAGATATCATCTTGGTTTCTAGCTATTTTTGGACATAAACTTTGTTTAGGACCAACTCACACCTGGTTATCACGGCTTTTTGACTGCCGCCTGTTAGAAAAAAGGCTTGAAAGTATATAAACAAGACTGATACCATGTCGCTGTAATAGGTTAGGTGGTATCCACGATACCTCAAAAGTTCAAACATCATGCAATCAGCTGGACATCATCACGACTCGCCGACAAAAATTCATACACGCTGGTCATTAGTGGTATATACGTGAAGCCAGACTGAACGCTCCAACAAGGATATAGACAAGATCGTTTATTCTGCCTACTCAATTGGTGGATTTCCACGATCATTTAAACTCCTACATCACGCATTTGAAGCAAACCACAGATCGATCCGCCCCACATGACCGTGCTGATTCAAATCGCACCAGCCGCATACGGTTAGTCGCTCAACACTAAAATGAATGAAAACCTTCTCAACGTCATTCCATGCAAAGGGCTGAGGAAAAGGCCAAGTTAGTTGTTTCTAATCTTAGACGAGTAATTGGCCAAAAGAAGGAATTGTCTGACAGCTACAGAACAGTCATATTGCCGATAATAGAATCGACTAC